TCACCTATTCAGTAAGAGTCAAGGACATTATTAAATGAGATCTACACAAGTATAATGTCCCCTATTTTAATATAATCTACACTATAAGCCTTGGTTTGAAAACACACCTAGTTTAACTTTTTCTACAGATAGGTCTGAGCTCAAGTCTGTGGAGTTGTGATTTTTTTTATTTTATTACCCAACTTTTACATCTTGGTCTTCACTCCTTAAAGAAGAAATGTCCCACAAAATGCAGTCATTCTGTGATGTTTTAAAAAAGGACTTTTGAAACTCTAGTATCTCATAAATTAAGCATTTTCCATGCATATTCTGTGTCTTCTGTTCCCTAAAGGCATTATATATTACTTGTTCTTCAAAAGGCTCATTTATAATATTGCAGGCTAATACGTGCAAATCATATATATGATGCATGAGGAAAAGAAATTTTGAAAAGATTTTGCCTTTAAAAAATAGCCTGCTTAAGATATTTAGACAGTATCAGAAGAAACATTTAAAACATTAAATATTACATAAATCCATTATAATTGGATTGCCAAAATGAGGTTACCAAAATGTTAAGCCACTTTGTAGTTTTTATTGCCTATTTGTAATTATCTACTGTACAATTAAGTCATTTCATATGACAGAGGATGACAAACTTCATAGTTATTATCTAAGAGCACATACTCAAATTTTCTTTCCATGGAGATAACTTTATAAATATATATATATCAAACTGCACTAATATTGCTTCAAGGGTAAATCTTACCTTTCTAGAAAGTGTTACTTAGGGGGATTACATAACTCAACAGCCGAGTCGGAATGGCCCCTGGCATTTTGCCAGAAGTAGTGGTTGAGAGGTGATATCAGGGAGCCATTAAGATGATGACTTTTGAGTTCTCGTGGAGGTTCCCCATTGAGTTCTGGTTGAGCTCTTGTGGGGATTCCTGAAGAGTTCCAGTTGGTTGGTGGAGTTCCGGTGGAGGGAGTTCCGGTGGAGGGAGTTCCGGTTGGTGTGTGGTGTAGCTGGAAGGACCATGTGAGTGGCGTTTGGGGGAGTTTGGAAATAAAGTTTGTTCCTGCTTGAGTGGCTCGTGATTTGTGCCCAGCCAGACTGAGGCACAACAGGATGGCTATATAAAAATATGTGTATTTATCTCCATATATATACCTGGTTCCAGGTGATTCTCCAGAAATGGATGACTATACAAATAAAAAAGACATAGGAAACACAATTTACTTTATATGAGGTTACACTAGAAAAACATCCAAGATTCTACTCAACTTGGATTTTGAACAACTTTTGTTTATTGAAATTAATGGAAAAAAATATAAAAAATGAAACATTTAGAAAATCAAGAGCAGAATGGATTATTGATGAATACATACCATTTAAAACAATACCTGGAGTGAAAATTGCATTTGTATCCTAGTCAAAAAGAAAAAGAAATTCTTAAAAATTTACTGTATAGCTATTAAAAACATTAGGTAGCTGTCAATGCTGATGTTTCTCCAATTTCTAACTTTTTCATCTTCATCTGAACTCTATGCCTTTTTAAATAGCTACTAGGTTGACATTTTAAATATATTTCAATAAAACTAATAAAAT